CTAATCCGGCAAGATCAGGGTAAAATGCACGGCGATGCCATAGATCGGCAACGACTCAATTACATTAATCCATTTACATACAAGCCGCGCTATCATAGCAAGGTACATATTGTAATTATTAAAAAATTGATCTAACATAGAATAACATAATATATGTATATTGTTCTCTATAGAATTTCGTAATGAAACCGTTAACTCCTTCGGAAATAACTGAAGCCCTGAGAAGGTACTGGTCTCCACAGCTAGATATGACAGGTCCATTTAATAGATGGTCTATGAGAAGACCATACTTGAAACTCCTTTCATGTTAAATGTAAAGATTTGAAAAAGGTAAGAAGCTCAATATAACTTAACATGTGCAACGCTAAAATTGACTCGTATTTATTGACATCTTGATCTCTTGTACATGTTTTATTTTCCTAAATTCTAACTTTACACACGAGACAATATTGTTCTTTTTTATCGCTTTCTTTTTATTATATTATAAAAACGAGTAAAATTATCATATGTAATAATAATTATACAGATATTTATGATTCTCCTTAAAATAATTACAATTCTCTGTACATTTTGTATTTGGTATGTATATTATAGTCCCTGATTGCTTTTTAAACGATAAAAGACTATTATATTATATTATTACTTGTGATTACTGCCAGAGTGATACATTGTACTTTTCGTAAAATATTCGAATCTTTTCTTTACACAAATTACCCACGTTTTGGCGATACAATGTAATATCTTAAAACCTAATGTGATGTACTTATTCTACATCACATACTCGTATATTCTATCTAGTCACTTGCGAGTTTAACACAGTGAATAAAATATTATCTACAAGATCTTTAATTAATATCATCAGAATTGCCTATTTGTTTTACGAATTTACACAAATGCTAATTTTATTTCTATATCATGGTGAGAGTAGTGTTGATACTCGTGCTTTCCCTTCTGCACCCCCGGTTATACAAGTTCCAGATTGATTGGCAGTCGACCAGTCGCAGCATAGAGTACCTTTGTGTCCGCCTAGCTCTAAAATCTTTCCTTGCGCGCCTGGTGGCATCTGACGAAACAGGAAGGTCGGTTGAATATATAATATTTAAAAAATATAATACAGAATAATATATCAGAATACAAAAAAATATAACAAAATAAGTTTTTAAATATTATATAATCAACTGATATTAAGCATGTATGCGTATAAAATATCTTGCACATACCTTGTATATATTTCCTCCAGTTTGTGTGCAGAGTAACATATAATTGCCAGTCTGATCAAAAGTAAATAATTTTCCATGAACGGGGTTCTTCTCGATTTTAATTTTGGTCTCCCACAAGATCTTCCCAAAGTGATTCAAGCTCCTTTGACATAGTTTACCGTCCTCACTTTGCGCACATATATTCGTAAAATCATTAATTAATTCTATATCAATTATTGGGCTAGAGTGGCAGTTGAGATTGTCTATTATCTCGTTTCGCCTCAGATCATGTATGAGTATATTGCCATTGGACAATCCCGTGATAAGTAATTGGCCATTATGATTAAAAGCGGAACATAAAGCAGTGACATTCTGCTCCAGCGGCAAAGTTCGTTCAAGCTTCTTCGTTTTTATATCGTACAACAACAATTTACCCTCATTGCCATCCGATACAGAGCAAACAAAGGTAGATTCCGTCGGATTGCAGATTAAAGTAACGATCCGCGAATTCTCGTGCTGGATATCCCAGAGCGTTTTACAGTCTCGCGTGTCATGCAATTGGATTAAACCATTATTGTCGCCATGCAGGAAATAACGTTCATTTTTCGATATCCAGTCCAGCGAGGTGATTGCTTTGTTAGAATTTGCCGTAGAGGAAGAGAACGTAGTAACAGTCCTAATACAAATAGATAATAATATAGATAGTAAGAATTACAATGTTACATTGATAGACAAAGTCATATGTATAAACGTATTTCTTACTTTGGTGAAGGAATCGGCGTCCATACTTTAATGACACCATCGGCGTCGCCCGTTGCGACGTACGATCCACTCGCATTACTTTTGCATTGAATTATAGAGGTTTTGTGTTCTGTGTACTCCTCCTGTAAACGTCGTGCATATTGCATAAAGGTGATTAATGTAATAAATAGTAGAAATAGTGAAAATTTCCCAAGATTAGTATGTTCTTTAACCTGACTTAAAAGAATATAACTGGAGTCTATTTTTTCCTTAGTTTTTCTTTCGATAGCAGTGTCTATAGAAGAGTCTCTTTTCCTAGAACTATTTAATCTTGAATCACAGCTGATGCTCCTCTTAGCGACCGCCTCGGACTTACTGATCGAATTCACCCGTCCTTTCGTATTTGGCCGTTTAGTCGAGACCATCTCAGATTCCGCATTTTTTTTTACGTTTGTTGCAGGCTTTCTACTCAAGATTGGACTGGACCCACCGCCAATATTTCTTATGAGATTCCTCAGTGTCTTTGGATTTTCCAGTAACGGCGACTCTCTATTATTTATGAATATCATTAATTATATTTATATTATAGAACCTTTTTTATGAAATACAGCGAACATACTGAGCAATAATGTAAAAATCATCCATAAGGGGAGGTTGTTGAGGTGCCGGACCTGGATTTACATCCCATACACTTTCTATTTTAACAGAATCACTCAATCGTTGTCTCAATGTTTCATTCTCCTCTTGCAATCGTTTTAATTTATTTGTGTCTTCGTCAATTGTGAGTAATGTTGGCTGGGGCATACACTAAGATAACAGTATATTAAATTTTTCATCATTCGTATTATATAGCATATCTTTTATTTTATTTTATTGCAACACGAAAGGTCTATTTTCTGTAGCTTAACTGGTACACTTTTGGAACTTAAAGTGAAATAAATATATATTTGGTATTTGACGAAAGGGAGAAAGAAAATCCTAGTGCAATCTAGTGCACAAATAAAAAACAAACCTATTATGTAATTAAATGCGTTAAAAATTTCTTATAGGTATATTCAATCGCATAATGCACTTCTTCTGTTTTCTATTATTTAAATCTGTCTTTTATTACTTATATGAAGAAACTGATTTTTCCTTTGTAATGTGATGTGGAAGTGCTTTTTTTACTTACTTGAAAGATTGTTGCTAAAAAATTATGTAAGGATACCAACATAGTATCGTGCCACTGCTTACTAAAATGGACCGAGTAAATTGGATTGTCTTCAGGATTTTTGATAAAGGGGAAAGCTGCAATATTACAAAGCATACAAGTTAATCTTCTAAATCTGAAGTATTATAAATCCATAAATGAATATGAGAGGCATACCAAACCATTCCTTCCATTCTGAATGACCCTGTAGCTCTGGTGTCATTTTGGTGAAAAATTCCTGTATTTTGTCTTGCTTGCCATTCACAGCTGCGTTTACCAAGTACATCTTTAATACAGAATTCTCCAACTTTCTAATCGCAGGCGTAAAATGGCTTTCCAATCGGCAAAACATTTTAGTATCAAAATGTCCCCATAATTCTCTCAGCGACGTCAGATCATAGGTATATATGTATTGCATTAATTGATCGATTATTTTATCTACCTGCTCAATCAAACATTGTCGAATATTAAGCTATCTTCCTGATATCAATATACAATTTTTTATTAATACTATCTGTAGTTCGTACACAAATATTTCAGTACATATGTAACACTTTGAATAAAGAACATGATAAATATATAACAGCAGAATAAAGCAAACAGATAAAAATAAACAGTTGCACAATTATCCCGACGCATTTATCTTGTTCTTATTGTAAGGCCTATTCTTATTTGGTTGGATGCTTTGTTATTTTGCTGTAATCATTCTCACCCTAAATCCCTTTTCCTTTTCTGCTTTCAGATCATTATCAAAGGCCTTTAAGGTCTGACTAAAACCCCTGAAGAGCAAGTATTCTTTTACCAATTCATCCACATATTGCACGTGAGACATTTTCCCTCCAATTTCTTTGAAATGTTATTTGTTCGATACAGCTTGACAGCTGTATACTGTCATCCTTCAGCCATCTTGGTTCTCCACTGAACTACTACACCATACTACTACAGTCTACACTGGACGCACAAGAAACATGAAGCATTTCGCTTGGATGTAGGATTGCCAACAGAAAGTCTTACAATAGAAAGGTATGTGAGAGTTTATATCGACCAATTTCTCGAGCCATCGAACAATCGAAAGAATCTATTTAAAAAGAAATTATGTTTATAGAGAAATTAATTATTGTAAAAAAAGTATAAAAACATTTTAATATCATTTCATATTAGAAATTAAAACATTTTAATAAAGACTAGGAAGGAAAAAAATTAATTATTTTTAAAAAACATGAAGTACTTTGTCGGTAAAAAAGAAGTTAATTAAAAAACAAGAATAAAATGTCATAAAATTAATAAGCTGCATTTGGAGAAAAATGAACTATTTTATGAAAATATAAAGTATATGATATTATTTGAAAAAAAAGCTTTGCTAAAAATGAAAAGAAAGAATTAAACGTTATAAAAATTATAAAATTATTATATTTAAAATAACATTACTTATTTTAAAAAGATATACAGCATCTGTTCTGAAAAGTTTAATTAGAAACAAAAAAAAAGAAATGTCATAAAAATTATATTATAAATATTTGGCGAGAAATTAATTAATTTAAAAAAGTATTATCTTTAGAAAAAGAGAAGCTTGACTAAATACAAACAAAATAGAGAAATGTCATAAAGATGATGAATTAATAAATAATAAAAAAAATTTTTAATAATAAGGAAAGACAATTGAGAGCACCACCGTAGTTGTTAATAACTTAAACAAGTTTGATAATATTTTTTAGTATATTTACTCTGTGAAATAACTGTGTTACAATCCTTCTTTTTATTCTCAATATTCTTGATTGAATGTTTTAGCTTTCGGGTAAATTAACTAATTAGATAAAATTACCAGAGCACTTTTGATAAATTTAAGTGATTATGCATTACAACATTGTCAAATGTCCTATTTTGGAAACTTCCAAGACTTTGTAATGTCCTTTACCAATTACCTATCCATACAGTGCCTTGTGCAAGGCAACATAACGAAAGACCATACGATCAATGTTATACAATCATTCATCACACAAATTATTTGTCGTCCCTTGAGTAATACGAAACAATTTATTAGAGTCGCTGTGAGAGATACCCCCGAGACAAATCTATTTATTATAAATTGAAAAATATTAACCACACATATAAACTCTGTAGTGACAAATTATTATCAAGTTGGTGTTGCTACAATTGAATTATCGGTATTAATCGAATTGATACTCGTAAGTATTTAATAACATTGTTTTATACCTTTAAATACATGTTCGTGAGATTTTCAAAAACGAAGTTAACAGAAACTGGAGTAAGATCAAAGCGGCAATGTATGTATGACAGATATAAATATCAATAAGCTATTTTGTAAGGTACATAATCTATAAATGTAATTTTAAAAAATTGATTGTTCATGTGGAAGGAATTCCGAAGGAAATTGCAATCAGTAAGCAGATAACTTTTCTGATCGAACTTTGATTAATGTCTAAATATTCCTTTTTGTATTTATGACATCAGTCTTGCCTTCCATTTCTTTCTTGTCAGATTAAGTTAAAATTGCTAATACAATTAAAATTTCAAGAATTTATTGGTATAGATGCAGAGTTTCGTAAAAAAAACATGTGTTCTTTTTCGGAGTATGTAATCGACCGATTTCCAACACAAATGGACATATTATAAACATCAATGATCTCCTCACGAATTATATATATAGACAACTAATTTTTTTGTCTATATGTTCATTCACGTTGGAAACATAACTCGAGCATAAACTCCAAAAAAGAGTACATATTTTTTTCCGAGAGGAGCTATATACGAGCGTTCGAAAACATTTTTCAGTTCTGCCTGGGATCGAACCCGGGATCTCTGGCATAGCAGTCTCGTGCGCTGCCTGTTACGCCATGGTATAAGGATAAGGGTATGCTCACGCCGTGGACCACCCACTGCGCAGTCAAAGTGTGACGTCACTCTCAGGGCCAATCAGACCGCCCAAACGAAAACATGGCGGC